GTTCAGGGTATCTCCTAGTCGAGCAGTCTCGACTAGAGTTTTCTTACTTGTTTATTTTGCTTTTAGTATGCAATTTTTAATATTTTGTTTTATTTTAACTTACATATACCTATGGCTTATTATGCTTTTTCGAGAAAGAAAAGAATATAGTATAATTCTTTCCATTTAGCATATTCATAAGTCCTAAATATTTTTGGGTTTCGCGCTTAACATGTGACCCAAATTTCTCCTAAAATGAAATTGAAGAAAACACAATATATATAGTTTTGATATATGTACATTACTAAGAAAACTTCGGGTGCATACTTACAAAGATGTCGGTTATAGCATAGCTTAAGCTCGGGGGCACTTCTTCTTGATTTTCCATTTTGCAGGCCATCTTTTCCATATTACTTTCTATAGCTCCTATAATGGAATCCTCTGCAGTGGTCAGAATTAAATATATTGAGAACACAATTATAGTTGATATGATAGCGAACATTTTGTCAGCCATCAGATCAGACCCTAAACTGAGCTGCGGAAGGCTCCATGCGATATTTTCATTTGCAGCAACAATTGTCACGGTCCATTGGCAACGCTTGCCTCAAACTTCAAACTGAATTCGAGGCGTAGCAATGTGAATTGGTGTGGGGCAAAGTCAAGTCGAGCCGGCGTAATCCCTGTGGTGGCTGTGTTATGAACCGTTTAAGACGCATTTATTGTGATTTTTATGCAGCCCGCCATCGTTTTAATAGATTTTTGCATAAAACGCTTCCCAGGGTTACCGTTACTCACTTGCCTAATGTAAACAAGTTATAAAACGCTCGTAAACCCAGATGACGGGGCAGAAAAAAAAGTGTAGAAGCAAAATAGTAAACTATATCGTCATAAAAATGCTATAAAATATATAGAAAGGGAAACCTTTTCGTTTTTTCTTTGTTTTTTATTTTGCTTGCGAATTTGCGAAATGCACAAATCGTAAAATAACAACAAAACAACGGGGTGTGCGGCTAGAAATTGTCGACCTCAAAGGGCGCAAGATTGCCGGGAAGGTAGCTAAATGTTTTCATCTGTATCTCAACATGCCCTGACCACGGCGACCTTATGCCCAGACTCATTATCGCAAAATCAAAATGCGTTTGTCAATGAATTAGAATAGCCTTGATGTGAATCCTGAGTCGTAAAAAGTGGTTTTGGCATTGTTATTACTCGGGTATATTTTATTTTATATTTATTGATTTTAATTCTTAGTAAGTGCAAGACTGCATAAAAAACTTTAGTTGTTTGTGAATATTTTCTACATTCTGATTTAGGTTACGATTAAACAGATAAGAAATTTGTTGGTTTCAGCTTTAATAATACTTTTTTATTTGCAAATATTTCCATATTATATGTTAATCAAATAAATTATATGCATATATGTATGTAGAAGCACAATAAATATTCACAATCATTTTAGTCTACAAATTGGGGATTATATTTAAATTTTTGTTGTTGTTTACTATTTTGCTATTAATTTTTTTTTTTTTTGTTAATTAGCTTTTTATTAAAATTTGCCTCAAAAACTATTTTTTATTGCATTCAACATCATGTTTATGTTCTTGCTGCCTATCAGTAGCAAGTGCCAGCTTTTACTACTTTCTTGTTTTGATGTCTACTACCTTTTCAAAATGTACTTCGGCAACACTTGTGCAAAACATCCCCGAAACTATACCAACATTTTAGTACCAGACGACAGACAATAGAATTGTGGTGCGCATTCAAGTAGCATATTTGACACAAACCCGGGCGAGGCAGCGTGGCCGAGCGGTCTAAGGCGCTGGTTTTAGGCACCAGTCCGAAAGGGCGTGGGTTCGAATCCCACCGCTGTCAAATTTTTTTATATATTTTTTATTCTTAGAATATATTCTTAGAATATATCCATCACATGTATACATAGTATATTTATGTAAATAATTTCATTAAAATTATAATCTTTTCAATATTTGTGAAATAATATTGTATGGTGTATATAGTATGTCCATATTATGTAGAATTCACTTCAAAGTTTGTTATTTTTAGTAAATCAGAACAGTGTATAAAATGCAATTTAATGGATTATCGCAAAGCAAGGCAAAGCAAAGCCGTTGAACGGATATCTATATATGTATCTATTATCAATTTTTGTTTTGTTAATGTTAAATTAAAATTCAATGAAATAAATTATGGGCATAATAGACGTAAACAAATTGGAGAGCTCAGTACAGTTCTTGTTAAGTACATACAAACATACATATGTATATATGAACAAGTGTAATGTGTTTGATTCTGATTAGAACATTTTCATTACAAAAAAAATAGGTTGTGTGAAAGTTGTTGGCTTGGAATCACAACGTCGGCATATGGCAGCGTGGCCGAGCGGTCTAAGGCGCTGGTTTTAGGCACCAGTCCGAAAGGGCGTGGGTTCGAATCCCACCGCTGTCAAGTGAAATCATTTATTTTAGTTCTGGTGGGGTTGCAAGCTGTTTTGCATTAGCACTCGGAATATTTCGCGCTTAATTAAAGCATGCCCACGCCTATTTTCCGGCACAGACGTTTATCTGGCGTTGACATTTCCCGCGTGCGCTAGTTAACTCCATTTGAACCCTTTCTGCGGTAACATGTTGATCTTGTTAGTAACCCGCAGTGGTCGGTCCAATTTGAGAATAAAATGAAAGGAAAAGCTACAGGAAATTAAAGGGTTTTGCGTTCTATGTAACTGTCCTTACCGCGGGGCAAATAAATGAATCAAATGTTAAGCAACACAACTTATCTAAGGTTTTTTTTTTTCGTTTTTTGTTTTATTGCTTTCTTTCGAAGCTAATTGGAAAGACGAAAGGCGTGGACTTTCAGTGAAACCCATATCTCACAACTTAAGCTTAAAGTCCTTTTGAAAATTCCTATGAACTTAAATAGTAGAAGGTACAATGGAATGTTTTCTCTATACAATTATAATTTCAATTGCCATCTAGGGTAAAACGGATTAAATTCCACGTTTATTAAACTAGTAGTTGAGTTTTTCTATTAATTATGATGCCAGACAATTTATTTTTAGATGTACGTCATACTGAAATGTGTAAAGTATATTTCTAGTATTTCGTAGTAAAAAAATCGATTA